TACCCAATGGAGCCTTCGGCGGCCTGTCTACGGTCTCCACCAGGCGCACCGTGAGTGGCACGACACATTGAGGAAAACACTTGCGGCTCTTGGGTTTGCTCCTTCTACAGCCGACCCGTCGCTGTTTCTGTGCACCGACACTTTGCTGCCGCCATTCTACATCCTCGTGTACGTCGACGACTTGGTCTTTGCCACTGCTGACACTGCTGGACTCGCCCACGTGAAGTCCGAGCTGCAGAAGAGACACATGTGCACAGACCTGGGTGAACTGCGCAGCTACCTTGGCTTGCAAATCACCCGGGACAGAGCACAGCGCACCATTACCCTAACTCAGTCACACATGGTGCAGCAGGTCCTTCAGCGCTTCGACTTCATGTACTCCTTGCCTTAGGCCACTCCTCTGTCTACTCGCCACTCGCTCTCAGCTCTGCCTTCGGATGAGTCCGTAGAGCCGAGTGGCCCGTACCTAGAGCTTGTTGGCTGCCTCATATACCTGATGACCTGCACACGACCTGACCTTGCATACCCTCTTAGCATCTTGGCACGCTATGTTGCTCCTGGGAGACACCGACCAGAGCACATGGCTGTAGCGAAGAGGGTGTTGCGCTACTTGTGTAGTACGTCGGGCATGGGGCTAGTGCTTGGAGGGCGACGTTCAGTGGTTCTCATAGGTCACGCGGACGCTTCTTCGGCTGATGACCAGGCTATGCAGCGGTCGTCACAGGGTTACACCTTTAGCCTTGGTTCCAGCTCTATTTTGTGGCGGTCTACCCGCTCAACTTCTGTTCTGTGCTCGAGCTGTGAGGCTGAGATCTACGCGGGGGCCATGGCTGCACAAGAGCTACGCTGGCTCACCTACCTGCTGACTGACCTAGGAGAGCCGCCTCGTTCTCCTCTAGTTCTGTACGTAGAAAACAATGCCATGTTGGCCTTGTGTCGGGAGCACAGATTGGAGCACAGAACGAAGCACATTGCTCTTCGCAACTTACTTGCTCGTGAGCTGCAGCAGCGTGGTCAGCTGCGCCTTGCTTACGTGGCCTCTGAGGCCAACACTGCTGATATCTTTACCAAGGCACTTCCGCCTGGGGATCATCAGCGTTTCTGTACGATGCTAGGTCTTGTGCCTACTTGGCCTCACTTGCTCACTTCTTGACCTTGCTTGTACTGTGATCTTTCTATACCTGCACTTGCTTGTTTACCTTTATATATGATCTTGCATGTGAACTGGCCTTGTGGCCTTGAACTTGTGCTCGAAATGTGTGGTGACGTTGTGATCCACCCTGAGCTTGCTTTGCTTTGCTTGACTGGTCGTGTGACCTCTTGTTCTCTCCCACTTTACCTATGGGTGTGTGTCAAACTCATATGCTATAGTCTGTGTAGGCTGTAGTGGGGTAGACAATATGGGGTACAACACTTCTAGTTTTTCCTACATGTACCCACCTGTTTGCTAGTTCATTCATTCCTCATTTCTTCACATAGGGGCCAGGGGCGGCGGCTCTAGGGGCGGCTGCTCCAAGGGCCAGGCACGGGGTAGGGCAGGGCGATGCGGCGGGCAGGGCGATGCCGCGGGCAGGGGCGACGCAGCAGGCACGGCGACGCGGCGGGCAGGGCGACGCCGCGGTTAGGGCGACGCCGCGGCCAGCGGGGATGCGGCGAGCAGGGCGACGACGCGGCCAGGGCGACGCCGCGGCAAGGGGCGATGACGCGGCAGGGCGACGCGGCGGGCAGGGCGACGCCGTGGGTAGGGCGATGCGGCGGGCAGGGGGGGCGACGACGCGTCAGCAGCTGGGCGCGGCCGCGTCAGCAGTAGGGCGAGGCCGCGTCAGCTGCAGGGCTGGCGGGGCCGCGTCACGGCAGGGCGGGGCCGCGTCCGCGTTGGCGGGAGGGCGGGGCCGCGACCGCGACAAGGCGGGGCCGGGAGTGCGGCCTGATGGGGCCGCGACCGCTACCTGACGGGGTCGCGCGCTGGCCTGACGGGCCTGCAAAGGCTGTGTGCGGGCGGCGAGGGCCTGTAGGGGCGGCGTGGTCCTGCAGGGGCAGCACGCCGACCTGACGGGCCTGCAGGGGCGGCTCTTGGGCCTGACGGGCCTGCAGAGGCGGCTCGGGGGCCTGACGGGTCTGCAGAGGCGGTTCGGGGGCCTAACGGGTCTGGAGTGGCGGCTTGGGGGCCTCACGGAGCTGCAGGGGCGGCTCGAGGGCCTTACTAGCTTGCAGGGGCGGCGCACTAGCCTAGGGCAGCAGGAGGGCTGCAGAACGGCACGCAGGTAGAATGAAGGGCGAGGCGCACGAAGAGAGAAAGGCGCACGAGGGCGCTTCTAGCAGAATAGTGGGCCCGTAGTAGTAAGTGGTCCTAGGCGGCAACCTAGGCTCGTGATACCATGTCAGAATGAACAAGAGTGATTGAACTAGGAAAGATTTGGGTACAAGTAGGAAACCCTAAACTTATTGTACCCCATAGTAACTACACATCTACAGCCTAAACAAACTGTAGCAGATACCGTCATCGCCCGGATAGAAGACATATATGTCTTATCTTATACATTAGAAAAAAAGCTTGCTGTGTCTTGTAATTGGGATGGTTGAGGGTGTCTTATAATTCTTATAAATGGACAAAAAACCGTTTAGAAGATACCCCCTAGTCATAACATTGCCCCTAATCCCTATACTGGCCTAACTCGTACACACCGACAGTTGTCTTATAATCAGGAACACCCATCTATAAGAAACACCCGTTTTAACGACACCCCATGTCTTCAATTCGACACTGTCTTATATCCGGGCGATGACGGTATGACATTTGACAAACATTACATGGTAAATCCCATAACATTGTTAGACACATAAGCACACCAGGGTCTTAAAAACCTTTATGCCAACTATATGTCCACCCTAGCATTTTTTTTTTGCATTTGTAGAAAGTCCCCCAGGTCCTATAGCCGGAATAATACGGTATCTCCTCTCCTCTCATAGTCCCTCCTCCTCACTTTCCCCTTGTTTCTGCCACTAGCGCTTGCTTATGCACTTGTTCTGCGACTGCTTGTTTTGTTGACTATACCCCACTTTGCCAATGGGGTTTTGTCAGAATGTTTTGCAGTGTAGGCTGTAGTGGGGTACTCAAAAGTGAGTACAACCATGTTAGGGTTTCCTATTTGTATCTCACCTGCCTGCTAGTGCAATCTCTCTTCTTCTGTTATTGTAAGAATTTACAAATCCTTACTGAGGCACTCGTTAGCGGGGCCATCCCGAGGGCCACGCGATCAACTGGTTCGGCCTACAATTTCGCATCCAAACCTCACCGAGCCGCCTCCGCACCAATCGCGACCCTTCGCGAGCCAACCTTTCCCCACCTCCCCACCTAGCTAGGTTTTCCCCTATTTAGGCCTCGTCACTTTCATTGTATCGTCAGTTCTTTGAGTTCATTCTATATATTCGTTATTCTGCGCACTCTGCAAGTTCATTCATTACACCTCGTGTGCTGTAACGAGTTCTTTAACAACTTTCTGGCTTTGTACTGTACTGTCGGCATTGGCCACTCAGCACTCTCTGCAGCAAAAGTATCCACTAATCAGCTCGCTTCTTCTCACCGCCCGCGTCAGCATCTCTTCACAAACAACCGCCCACACTTTTGGGCACTGTAGCGCATTGCGCAAAAGCGGAGAGCTCCACTCCGCACCTCGGTTCTCCCATCCCTTTCGCATGCCCCTGCCGCTGCTTCCCCCTCCCCTTTCCCCGCCTCTCCGCCAAACCACCATTCTCGCACTGTTTCGCCAAACCATCCAAACCCACCAGTCACGTCCCGCCCGCCGTATTTCACCGCACCACTATTTCGTCAGACCACCTCAGGACGCGTCGCCTCTAGCTCGACCCTGGAAATATCGAACCTCCACCGTACTGAAAACCTGATTGTTTCTTAACCCCGCTAAATTTCGAACCTGAACGACTAAGGGCGGGGTCAGCGCGGGGTCAGCACGTTCGCACCGAACGTGCGAACGCAAAAATTTAAAGATCGCACGATCGGTGCAAGAGGTGACGAGCCCTCTCGGTCAGTCAGATCGACTCGCCTCACCTCACCTCCCTTACACTCACTTCATGCATGCTTACTGTCCCTAGTCGCTCGCTTGTCAAAACTTTCATTTGAGGTGCAAACTTCGCTCGTGCTGGTAGATAGGTACAGCCGCTTTTGCAAAACGATGTAAAAGAGCCAGTGCGCTTCGAGCAGATGAACAGTAGTAGACAATATCTTCGCCTTGCGGTCTGTGGCGATTCGTTACGGCTCGGGTTGCTTGTAGCAGCATTGGACTTTATTTAGTCGACAGTCATCTCTTCGTGAAGTGAAGCGACTTAAAAACAGGTGACTGATGTGGGCGGTTCATGAACGACGTGACACATTGGTGCGAGGCTAACGGAAAGGAATGATTAGCCAAGGAGAGGAGACGAGCAAGTGATGTGGGCGATGGACATAGCTCGCCTGAATTGCCCTATCTCATGTTTACACGTGAGGGTACACTGTCGAGCTGTTGTGATCAGGTAACGCGCGGAGTAGCAGTCTGAGGTACTCGCTCAAAGCTGTTCCGCGCGGTGTAACAGGTCGTAAGATAAGGGAAAGGGTACGAGGGACAGGGGGGCGCCGGGCTGAGGGAAGGAGGAGGCACGCGGCGGTGGCGGCGGAAGCGGTCACGCAGGGACAGCGAGAGGAGATGTAACATGCGTGCCGACAGGGGGAAAGGCGTGACGGAGGCGCGGCAAAGAGGAGGCACTGCGAAGGGGAGTGCCTGCGCGCGTTGACCCGGCGGGGCTCATCGCGGACGCTGACAGGCGCAGTGACCTCCCCTCTCGCTCATTGCCTGCGCCTCTCTCCTCCCCCCCCCTCCCTTTACACGCCGTCCTCTTCCGCAATCGCTTCCCGCTAGGACTCCGCGACACCGCTCCGCGCGCCGGTATTCTGCTGCGATGCGACGAGACGCGCGGAATTATGCGCGCAGAATCATGCGCGCAGAACTATGCTGCGCTCAACCCCACTTACCTCTTCTGCCCACTCCCTCCGTCGTTGCTTCCTTTCCTCCCTCTCCCTCCCTCTCCCTCCTCTCCCTCCCTCCCCCTCCCGATCTCCCCCGCAGATGGTAGCCAATTCCGACGCCGCGCCAGGCGGCAGCAGCGGCCACTGGAGCAGCGGCCACAGCAACGGCATCCGCGCGCACGCCGCCTCCACCTCCCCTTCCCCCGCGCCCTTAGACGCCCTCGCGCCGGGCGACCCCGCCAGCGTGCCCAACAGCGGCCACCACAGCGGCCCTCACAGCGGCCACCACCATGACAGCAGCGGGCGCTACGGAGACCGCGGCGGAGCTCCCGCGGGCGGGGGGCACGCGCGGGGAGGCGGGGGGGGATGGTCGTCGGACATGGACAACGAGGGCGAGGCGGGCGGGATGGCGATGGCGTACGACATGACCATGCCCGACGACAAGCACGGGCTCACGTCGGGGCTGGCCTCGCCGCTCATCCACAGCACGCGCTACGATGACGACCTTGAAAAAGGGGGGGTTGGCGGAGGCGCGAGTATCATGGCGGGGGGCGCAGGGGGGAGAGTGGGCGGTGCGGAGCCGGCGCGGGCGGCGGGGGCGGCGGGGCGCGGGGCGACAGAGTTTGGGCGGCGGACGAACACGACCAAGGACGTGCGGGAGCATGTGAAGTCTGTGATTCAGCAGAACGAGGGGCTCACGCAGCCCTTTGTGGTGCGCAACCTCACGCTCACCTACTTCCTCACCGTCGCCGTCGTCATCCTGCTGTCCCTGGGCGGGCAGCTCGCCGTGCACTTCGCCATCCAGAACAGCAAGAGCGACGCCACCGTGGTCAACGTGGCGGGGCGGCAGCGCATGCTGAGTCAGCTCATCTCCAAGGACAGCCTCGAGATCTACGTGCTGCGCACCGACAACCGCAGCGTGGCTTACTATGTGAGCGAGCTGAGCGAGCGTGCGGCGCTGTGGAACAAGTCGCACTACGGGCTGTGGCACGGCAGCCCAGAGCTCAACCTGCCCGGCACGGGCAACAGCGCCATCGTGAAGAAGATTGAGGAGCTGACGCCGGCGTTCCTGGCCATGTTCTGGAGTGCGCGGGGCATTGTGGATCTCAACCCGGACAACATCACGTGCCCCTCGGAGCCCTGCGAGTAAGCCCCCGTTTTCATACTGTCTTCTGCGCAACATCCCCTGCCCCTCCCACACCATCATGTTCCCGAGTGCAAGGGCATCGTGGGCATCAGCACAAGCCCTGCCACTGTCTTTGTCATCTCAATTCTCTCCTCCTGTTGTGTTTTCTGTGCTGCTGTTGTGCTGCTGCTGTGCTGCTGTCGTGGTGTGTGCATGGTGGTGACGCCATGCAGGCAGCTGAAGAAGCATGTGGACACGATAATGGAGAACGAGGCCTTCTTCTGGAAGACGCAGGACGCCATAGTGCTCATGTACCAGGAGGATGCCGACACGCACACCAACACCATCCTCATCCTCTCTTGGGTGCTCCACATGCTCGTCATCGTTACCCTCGTTCTCGAGGGTGTTTTCGTGTTCCGCCCCGTGCTGCGCCACATGCAGTCGCTCATCAACGAGCGCTTCGCCCTCCTCCAGCGCAGCCTCGTGTGAGTCTTTAGTTGAGAGCGGTTCAGCGTGGTGCAACCTCGTGTGTTTTGTGAGTTAAGAGCGGTGCAGCCTCGTGTGAGTCTTGTGCGATTAGCAGCCGTCTTACCTTGTGTAAGGATCTTAGCACCCTTCCACTGCTGCCATCCGCTCAATCCCTGCACTCTTCCCCCCACCGCCCTTCCTCAATCCCTCCCTTTCTCTTTCTCACATTCACACCTTCCGTGCGTGCATGCAGGTCGGAGGCGGAGAACAGGGGGGTGTCGGTGCTGATGATGGGGTACATCAGCCACGAGCTGCAGCAACCCCTCACCTCGCTCTCGCTGCACCTCCACCACGCCGCTGCCGCCATCGCCCGCCTTGCAATCTTGCACCCCAAGCCCCCCACCCCTTCCGTCGCCCTCTCCCCCGCCCTCCTCGCTACTGGTAGTGGCACAGGCGGAAGCGGGTTCGAGGAGGGGGGAATGGGGGGAGCGGAGGGGGGAGCGGAGGGTGGAGGGTGGGGGGGAGGAAGGGACAAGGAGGAGGAGGCGGGGGCGGGGGTGGCGGTGGCGGCGGCGGCGGAGGCGGTGGGAAAGGCGCGGGTGTGTGGCGAGCTGATGAGCACGGTGGTGGGCGACGTGGCCAACTTGCGCAACATTGAGCTTGGCCGCATGATGCTGGCCGTTGAGCTCGTTGACGTCCAAGACCTCGTGCAGCAGGTGAGGGAGTGTTGCAGGTAGGGCCTTGGGTGGGTGCAATGGAAAGGGTTGCTGCGTGCTAAGATGTGATCCTCACAATGTGGAGATAACTACAACGGGAGTTAGACTACGGGAAAGGCACAGTTGTGAGAGTGATCGTAGCGTTCCTTAGCGTTTGCTTGTGTTTTCTCTACGCACACATTTGCGGGGAGTATTGACAAGAGTTTCACTAGCAAAAGTTGTGAACAATGATTGAGCATGCAAAACAACAATGACTTTATTAGAAACAAACGTGCATGCAGACCGATCGCATGCAACAATGCTAGCGTAGCACGGTCGGCCGCGTTTCAACACTGCAAGGTTCGCACCGCTCCAGTGTTGCAGAAAGGCGGCTTGCCAACGTTGTAAGTCGACGGCTTGCCAACGTTGTAAGTCGACGGCGTGCCAACGTTGCAGCAAGGCGGCTGTACAGCGTTGCACTCGCATGACAGCTGCGCACCTACTTCGCAGGTGCTCGCAGTTGATTGGCGTGCTGTGCCCCGTCACGTGCACAGCGGAGACATCAAGTTGTCCACGTGCTGTTGACTGCGCCTGATCAGCCACGTCGGTCTTGAGATACTATCTCTGAAGTCGGCTTCGTCAGAACCATCTGGGTGACTACCGCGCACCTTCGCAGATCCCTATCGCCCGGGCAACTTGGTCGACCAGGCAACCACGTCGACCAATGGCCGCTCTTTGCGCCCGTCGACCGCCTGGGTCAACAACCATCATCTGCCGATTTCACGAAGTCAATCACTCCCCCAGGTCGACCACTCTTACTCAACCAGACCTACTGGTCGCTGACTGTACCCAACCAACTTCACCTGGTCGGCATCGCCAGGTCAACGCCCTCCCAGGTCGTCCTCCCAAGTCGACCTCCCAAAGTCGGCGCCCTCCAAGTCGGAGCCCTTCCTAGGTCGATGTCTTCCCTCGTCGACCACCATGTTGTAGTCGGCGGTTGGCGTCCCAAAGTCGGCGGCTTCGCAGTGGCCACGTGCAGGTCGACCAAAACCCATCGACCAGGTCGCCAAATCGGCGTCGTCCACTGCTATAAGTCGGTTGCACCTCCCGCACACCGGACCACGAAGTCCGCTCCGCCCAAGCGAGGATAAGGCCAACACACAACTCCTGTTGACAGATAAAACTATAATTGGTGGTGCGTGCTGGGTATAAGCTCCTCGCATTCATTCCACCCTCGTCTCACCCCTCACATTCAGCTCCTTTCCTACGTTTTTGCCTCCCTTTCCCTCCCCCTCCTTCCCTATGCACTGGGCATTGAGCTGTTGAGAGAGGAAAAGTTGAGGAGGCAAAAGTTGAGGGTACGTAAGACGAGGGTACGCAGTAACAAGTGTTTTTCTCACTAACAACTGACCCTATTCTAGCCTAACTACAAATTATATAAACATACAAACATATTGACACACCCCCTAGAGTAGACAAGGGAGTTGTTTTTTGTCAACAATAAATAAACTCAGGACGGCTTTACTACTCCAACTTTTGAGACAAACAAAGCCACAAGGCCAGTCCAAGTGTATTTGATACAACAAGCAAGCGGAGTGGCTGTGGAGAGGAGTGGCGAAAACGGAACCGCGCGAAGATCTGCTGCACCATGTAGGACAAAGCGATATACTAAGATTTTAAACACAAACTTCGATCTCACCCGGTCGACGATTTGGGAGATGCTTGGTTCGTGGGAAGGCTCTACATAGAGAAGTATTTTTGTAATATGTGCTCAACCAGAAAATAATTGAAACACCTTCACAAAGTTTAGTCTACATCGAACACAAATTCTTTACATATGTGCAAATCAAGCATGCAATGTAGAAACATAGTATTAGAAACAGACAGATGTGAATGCATTTGATGTCATCACACAACACGTCTTCCCCTCCTGGCATTGCACGCGGGCAGGCTCTAAGTGTGGTAGCCCCAAGGTTTTCTCTCAACCCGCTCCCGCCTCTTCCATTCCCCTTTGCCTTGCGCGGGCAGGTGCTGAGTGTGGTGGCGCCGAGGGTGCCGGAGGGCGTGCAGCTGCGGGTGGACGTGGATCCCAGCATTGAGGCGCGCCAACTTGACAAGCACCGCCTCCAGCAGGTGGAGGGTGTGGGGGGTTGCGGGGGGGTGTGAGTGGGGAGAGGAAGGGGAGGAGGGGGGGTGAGCGGGAGCCTGCATCATTGTTAAGCAGGCGCAGGCAGCAGGTCATTTTGGGGTAATGGTGGGGTGGACTTGCATTGTTTGGGGGGTGCTTGGTGGAGGGCACATAGGGCGGGCGGTAGGAGTGGGTCGAGTTAAGGGCTTACTGTGCTGTTGGGCAAGCATTCCGTCCAGTCCGCTTCCATTCCTTCCGCTGACACTCTCGCTCCCTCCCTAAACCCCGTGAGTCTGTTTTTTCTTGTCGACCCAAAACAACACCCATTGCCATTCCGTCCCCTTCCCTTGCCCTTTGTCCTTTACCCGGTTGCCCTGTGCCCCTTCCCCATGTACGGGGTTACGTGAGAAGGCGAGCGGCTGTCCTGTGCTGCCCCCCCTCTCCATTCACGGGTGCTGCTGAACCTGGTGGACAAGACGTTTCGCCGCACGAGCGAGGGCGTGGTGGTGGTGCGTGTGAAGGAGGGCGTAGTCTTTTTGATTCTACTCAAAAGTCATCTTGCTCCCCCCACACTCCATCAGGTGCTGCTGAACCTGGTGGACAATGCCTTCCGCCGCACGAGCGAGGGCGTGGTGGTGGTGCGAGTGAAGGAGGGTGCAGCGGCGCACCTGCTGCGGGTGGAGGTGCAGGACTCGGGCGAGGGGCTGAGCGAGGAGGAGCGGGCGCGCATGCTGGAGCCAGTCATGGACTCCAGCGGCGTCACCGAGGGCGAGGGGGCCGGCCTCGCGCTCTATGTGGTCAAGCTGCTCGTCGACCTGCAGGTGAGCGTGAGGTGCAGGTGAGGCGCTTTTGGTGCTTGTGTGACCTCCAAATAAACAGCCAGTGGAGCTGCAGGGAGCATGTGTGATAGTGGTGACGCTGCTGTGTGCAAGTGTGTGATGCGTTGCTCCCAGTGCAAGTGTGTGATGCGTTGCTCACAGTGCAAGTGTGTGATGCGTTGCTCCCAGTGCAATGCAGGAAGTGCTTGAAGATTTTCAAGGACTTGCTCTCATTGATGACGTCCCAACCTTCCTCCTATTGTGGCCACCGTGCAGGGCGGCACGTTTGGCATGGAGAGCGAGGCGGGTGGCGACAATCTGCACTGGGTGGAGCTGCCAGCCGCCTCCGCCGGCCCGGTGCCGCCCACTGGGGTGACCCACGACCGCCCCGCCATCACGTAGCCATGACCACCATTGCGTCTCTTTATCGCTCTGTGTGCACCCTCCCAACCCAAGCCCTGTGAACTCTGGGCTCCTGTATTTATGGCCAGGTCTGGCATGCGATACCCCTTTTATTGTGTGGTGCAAGTCAGCCTCTTACCTATGGTACGGGTGATTCTGCCCATAGTCAACAACGGTAAAGTTTCTGGCATATCTGTGTACCGTAAGCCCCCGGATAGAAGCGCAGGCCTTGGATAAGCGCCGGCGCTTATAAAAGGATGAGGGCGCTTATATCCGGTCCTCGATTATAAGCGCACCCCCTAGAAAAAGATGATATATTATATGCGCATGTTTGTTTTTCATTTGAAAACCTTTCAAATTTCAGAAACGAATTTCGCATACTCAGGGAAACGAACAACAATTTCGATTTCCCACACTCTGGACTCACTTTTTGCGCGTCTAGTCAGCATGTGCTGTACTTTTGTCAGGGTGAGCTGGCAGGGGATCACTCCCTGCCAAGCTGAACGAGAATCAGATTCGCGACCCTAAATGTTTTCGACTCGATTACAATTGGCAGAACGAGATATACAGTTGGTGTAAAACAAATATATATTCTTTTTGCCATTTTATATGCGCCGGCGCTTGTAAAATTCCTCAATTATAGGCGTACCCCCCAAAAAACAGTGTTTTTTTTATACCCTCAGGGGCGCTGTTGGGCTGAAAAAGCCCTTTAGGATCTTTGTGACAAAATTAGAAGGAAGAAAGAGGATTGAACTAGCAAGAATGAGGATACAAATAGCAAACCCTAGAAGGGTTGTACTCGCTATAGAGCACCCCACTACAGGCTAGAACATAAGATAATATTCTGACACACCCCCATAGCCAAAGTGGGGTGTAATCAGCAGAGCAGGCAAAGCAGTACAAGCTCAGGGTGGATCACAATGTCACCACACAATCTGAGCACAAGTTCAAGAAGAAATAGTTTAGAGTTCACAATTATGAGCAAAGCTAGTGGTAGTCACAACGGGCAAGTGAGGAGGAGGAGAGAGAGTGAGGGGAGAGGAGATAGGAGGCGACGGCTGAAGCTGCAGACACACGGGCAACAGGAGGCAGACTGACACAGCGGCTACCGGACTAAGCGCCCGGACTACAGGAGTAACAGGCCCTGCGGCTAAAGTAGCGGCAGACGAGCAACGGACCCACGGGCGGCTGGCGTAGAAGTCTAGCTCACTGGGCTACCGGGACAGCGCCCCGGACTACAGGTGCTGCGGACAACAGTACGGCAACCTCCATGCAGCTTCCCCAAACAGTCCCACCCCCCCGACACGCACCCGCTGCTACACCGCTAGCTCCACTCCCACGCACCCCCCTTAAACCCTAAACCCCAGTCTCCCACACAACCACCCCCCTCAGCGACAGCTGCAGCAGTGGGAGACGAAGGAGGAGGAGGAGCAAAGGGAGGAAGGCACACCGGCCACCCCCATACCCGACACCCCACCGCTCGCGGCCCCCGAAGGAGCCGCGACGGGCGACGGGAAAAGGGGGGGGGGAAGGCGGGGACGGGGCCGGGGCCGCGACGGGTAGGGCGACGGGCCGCATGTAGTGCGGCGGTAGGGCCGCAGGTAGGGCGGCTGGTGGGCCGCAGGTAGGGCGGCGAGTGGCCGCAGGTAGGGCGGCTCGCGGGCCGCAGGTAGGGCGGCGGGTGGGCCGCGAAGGTAGGGCGACGGGTGGCCGCAGGTAGGGCGGCGGGTGGGCCGCGAAGGTAGGGCGGCGGGTGGCCGCGAAGGTAGGGCGGCGGGCGGCCGCGACGGGTCGGGCAGCGGGGCCGCGACGGGTCCCCGTCGCCCGTCGCGGCGCCTCCAGAAGGCGACGCGACGAACGACGGGGCAGACGCCCGCCGCGCGCCTCGGGGCGCACAGCGGGCAGAGAACCGCCGCGCGCCTCGGGGCGCACGGCGGGCAGAAAACGGCCGCGCGCCTCGGGGCGCACGGCGGGCAGAAAACCGCCGCGCGCCTCGGGGCGCACGGCGGGAAGGAAAAGTAGCAGCGGAAGCGAGGTGGTAACCCACCCACAGGATCGATCCAAGGGGATCGACCTGCTCTGATACCATGACAAAATTAGAAGGAAGAAAGAGGATTGAAATAGCAAGAATGAGGATACAAATAGCAAACCCTAGAAGGGTTGTACTCGCTATAGAGCACCCCACTACAGGCTAGAACATAAGATAATATTCTGACACTTTGCAGAGGTGAATTCTGGGTAGAGTTGATGTTGTAGCCAGGGCCTCAGAAGTCAGCGAAAAAAGGCTGATTTAGGTAAAAAAGGCTGAGATTTCAGACTTCGTTTAGAACCAGGGCTGATTTTTCAGCATTTTTTTTGAAAAAAACAGGAAAAACTATGAATTTTATAGTGTAAAATGGCATAAAATGGCTAATTTATATGATTTTCAGCATACTTTTTTGTACCAACTCTGATTGTTCAGCCTAGCCCAAAACCAATCTGAGGCCGTGGTTGTAGCGGAAGCGTCTAATAAAGAGTTTGTGAACCACCTTGCGCTAGTATGTGAGGGCAAAGTGAATTGATTATATATGAATACAGGGAATATGAAGAGACACTGTTATAACTACTTTACTGTTGCTGTTGCGGTTCGATACAGTGACGACTCGGGCAACTGCTCTGTAACGAGTCAGTTGTGTGTCCTTGTTGTCGCACTGTATTTGTCAGGCTAAAAGTCGCTGACCTTTGACTTTCGCGTAACCTCCAGCGGTTACTTCAACCTCCGAGGGTTGACTCGCTGGTGCCTCGATATTCTCTGCTTCGCTTGTGCCTTAGTGTTTCGATACGACAGAGGCGCTTAGGAACGATTGTTTCCAACAGGCGCTTCTATCCGGGGGCTGACGGTATCATGCAGATGGAAGTTCTTGCTAGCCGGAATCTCATTTATCCTTAGGATGTACAGCTCCCTGCTTTATTGATAGAATTGTTAAAAATGCAAGTGAATGTGTACAACAGAGTTAAGGGCACGTGACTATACACTGTCTATGCTAGCTAGGCGGGAACCTTGGGAATACGAGGTTGGGTGAAGATTTGGTAAGGGAAAACCGAAGGTGATACAAGGGAGCCTCGGTTTGAGCGATGTTGGCCGAACACGCGAAGTCCGAAAGTACGGGGATGTCAACCCCGATAAGCTTAAACATCCCCCCCCCCCCCCCCCCCCCCCCTCCCCCTCTCGTAAGAAAGGTGGTCAACGTCCGCAGCTCGCTTTCGGGCTCGGTAACGGTGCTTTAAGTGAGGCGGATGGCACTGTCAAATATTATAGCCTGTAGTGGGTTGGGCTATATGGGGTACAACTAGTTAGGGTTAGGTGATGTACCCCAATCCTGTCAACACAACGCATTCCGCTGTAGTTCTCGTTCTGACATGGTATCAGCAGTAGGTTAGCGCTCCTAGTCCTAGGCCCGCCCTTCCCTACCACTAGGGTTACCACTGCACCCTGCCAGCCCGCCAGCGCCCTACCCCACGCCCCAGCCGGCGCGCCCCTCCCCTCCCCGCCCTTAGCCAGCGCGCCCGCCAGCCAGCCAGCGCGCCAGCCAGCCAGCGCGCCAACAGCCTGCGCGCCAGCCAGCCAGCAAGCGCGCCAGCCAGCCAGCGCGCCAGCACCCTGCGCGCCAGCCAGCCAACGCGCCAGCCCGCCAGCGCGCCAGCCAGCCAGCGCGCCAGCGCGCCAGCTAGCCTGCGCGCCAGCCCGCTTGCACGCCAGCCCGCCAGCGCGCCCGCCAGCGGGCGCACCAGCGAGCCCGCCGGCTCGCCTGCCAGCGCGCCAACCAGCGAGCTCGCCAGCGCGCCCGCCAGCACGCACGCCAGCGCGCCCGCTAGCGCGCCCGCCAGCGCGCCACGCCAACGGGCCCCGCCAGCGCGCACGCCAGCGCGCCGCGCCCACCAGCGCGCGCCCTGCTTAGCCGCCCGCCAGCGCGCCGCGCCCGCGCGCCACGCCAGCCAGCGCGCCGCGCCGGAGCGCGCCCCGCCAGCGCGCGCCCCGTCGCCCCGCGCCCAGCCAGTGCGCACCCCGCCTGCGCGCACCCGCCTCGCACTCACCTCCCTCTCCTCCTCCTCTCGCGGCTGGCGGCCGCTATCACTTGTCCTCGCCCCTCATGGCGACATCTCGCGTGCTCCGTTTCGACCCTGAGGGGCGTGCGATCGACTTTAGTACCTGGCTGACGCAGGCCCAGCGCCACCTTAGGAGCCAGCGCCAGGATGGCGTGCACCTGTTTGCGCATGCGTCCGGTGCTCTGCCCGCCCCGCCGCAGCCTTCACCGGTGCCCACTACCCCACCGCCTACTTTCGAGCAGGAGGCTGAGTACCAGCGCCGGTTCCTCGCTCGTGACGTGTGGGAGTCTCGTGACGCTGCTGCCTGCCTCGCCCTGACCGACCTTCTCCCGCCGACTGAGGCTGTCCAATTCACTCAGGTCGAGTCTGCTGCAGACCTTTACACTGCTATTGTTGCTCGCTACTCCACTCCCTCCTCTGCCTCCCTCAGCCGCCTCCTCGTCCCCTTTATCTACCCTGACCTCGCCTCCTTTGAGACTGTTGCTGACCTCGCTACCCACCTGCGCTCCCTTGAAGCTCGCTTCAAGGCCGCTTGCACTGAGGAACAGCTTGCCCTTGCACCCCCCCCCATGTTGCTCACTATTCACTGGTTAGTCACTCGCCTCCCTGACCGTCTAGCCACAGCCCGCGACGCGCTTCTCCTGAAGCACCCCACTGAGCTTACTATCGATCTTCTTGAGACCGCTCTCTCGAAGATCGAGAGTAACCTCCTCGCTGTTGCCTCCGCCTCTTCCGCGCCTCCTCCTCGTCTCTTTGAGGGGTGTGCGGTACCACAGCTTCCCACCTTCACTGCCTCGCTTGCCAGTGCCGCGTCTTCTGCCTCTGAGGAGACGGCGGCCGTTTCTGTCTCTGGCGGACAGAAACGTGGCAAGTCCGGCAAGAAGGGAGGGAAGGGCGGCGGGGGTTCTGGGGGT